ACATTAAAAAAGACCTAGGTTTGGAGCCAATGTTAACACTCTGGCTTGTTCTGCTTTGTCCCCTTGACCCTCAACTCTAACATTGCCCCAGCTATAACTCACTTAGTTTCAATAATGAGCTGAGACCTGCAACCAATGCCACCTAGCTTCCCTTTCCTTCAAAAGGTTCCCCTCTAATCCCAGAAAGCCACATTATAATTTCCATTAAATTGCATGGTTGCTCCTGTACTGTCTGCTGCTTGGTCTGGGTTGAGGGACTCCCAAATTTCCCACAAGCTGTTCAAAAAGAATAAGCTTGTTTCTCTCCTGATCTTTTTCTTTTTTTCCTAAATCAGATCTTGGTCACTTGCATCCATTTCAGAAACTTTTTCCTGCCAGTTCCCCCAAGCCTAAGATGCAAGGAAAATTAGCTTCCCTTTCAAAACAAGTGAAGAGAAGGGACAAAATATAATGATAGTGCCCCTACACAACTGTAAACTTTAGAGTCCACAAAAGCATGCTCTAGAATGGCCTGATTTTCACTTCTCTTTTACTCTGTGGCTTTTCCCCATGTCCAGAGATTCCTCTGATATGGATCTAGCCCCCAACATAAAAAGTACCTTTTTCTGGGATTCCTTCACAACAGTCCAAATCATCTGTAGAACCTTAGACCCATTAATCCAATAAATGCAGTTTTAAGGCTGTGAAGATATCAAGTCTACCCAAAGAGCATTTTGGTTGTGGGGTGCCTCCAAACATTAAGTTCCTAAATTTTTAGAGATAGAAGGCATATCAGACAGTAATAGAAATGGACAATGCCCCAATTCCCTTGACTGGGGAGGTGCATGTTCTGCATTCCCTAGAATGACTGTTGGGTACATACTGGTTGGTACTAGTAAATATTTTAGCAAGCTTCTGTGCTCTTCTATCCCTTTGAGAAAACAGTGCTGTGACACAAGTGGCAGGGGAATTTTGGGGACACTGCAGGAAGTGGGTGGAGGCAAAGATACATTTGAAACTTCAGGATCTAAATGGTTGTTTAAGAAATCTGAGGGGCTCAAGAAAGGCAGTACTGAGGATGAGATTTTTTTCAGGATTATGGTGGTGGTGTTCCTGACTTTTTCAAATTGAAAATCGAGATATTCCCCAAAACCCTCAGTATTAAAAACAACTTTAATAAATTGAAGACACACCCCAGCAATAACCAAAATCAAAGTATTCTGAGACACTGAGAACATACCAAATTCCTTTCTGTCCCTTCCTGATCTATACTCACCAAAATTTAAACCAGTAACCTTATCCCATCAATGAATCTAGTCTGTATCAGAGGACACAAGAGCTACACCTCTGCCCAGCCCATTGCACCCCTCTTCCAAGTTGCATTGTGAGGTCTTGACAGAAAAGTTCTAAACAGGTTTCCCTATGAATCCACTATGATAACCTACCTTAAAGTTTGTTCATCAGCAGCAAACCTCTTCCTGGTAAAATAGTGATTTTCCCAAGTTTTATTACACACTCTTAAGGCGAAGCTCTTGGCCTGCTCACTGGACATAAATGCCGAGGCCTATCTTCAACCCATCCCCCACTATCTCCCATGAAGTTTCACCAAGATTTTGCCACTCTTTCCAAAAGCCAACAGCCTTCAGTCAACCACAGAGGAATCATGCTCAGCAGGTGCCCTCCCAGGTAACCTAGGCAACAGCCAGAGGCCAAGAGCCCCTGAAGTGTATCAAAGCAGGAAAAGGTATTCCCAGGGTTGAGTATAGCATTAACTTCCCCTTAGAAGTTGTTTCACATAGTCCAGGAACTCACTTCATTCAGGCATCAATGCATTTGGGGCAGTCCTGAGATTGCCCTGGACAGCCACTGACCTACACTCAAACTTTCAAGTGGGGCAAGAGCACTGGTACCAATGGGTCACAAGATCAGAGGCATCAAGAGCCCCACACTCCTTCTTCAATTGCAACCCAGTGAAACTAAAAACAAAAAAGAAAAAGTTCTTGGTTGAGAGCAGTAGGAGAGGCTCTCCAAGGACCCAAGGGACTCATAGGTAAATGCACCTGAAAACAAGGTTTCTGTGCATAAGAACAGACATATAGACCAATGAAATAGAATAAGAACCCAAATCACTATGCTTAATTTATATTTGACAAAGAAGGCAAGAACATAACATGGAGTCAAGACAGTCTCTTAACTAGATGGTGCTGGGAAAATTGGTCAGACACATGCAAAAAAAAAAAATGAAATTAGACCACCAACTTACACCATACACAAAAATAAACTCAAAAAGGATAAAGGACTTAAACGTAAGATGGGAAAGCATAAAAATATTAGAGGAATCCACAGGCAGCAAAATCTCAGATATATGCTGAAGCAATATCTTCACCAACACAGCTGCTAGGGCAATAGACACTAAAGGGAAAATAAACAAGTGGGACTACATCAAAATAAAAAGCTTCTGCACAGTAAAAGAAACCATTAACAAAACAACAAGAAAGCCCACAACATGGGAGAACATATTTGCCAATGATATCTCCGATAAGGGTTTAATCTCCAACATTTACAGGGAACTCATACAACTTAACAAAAGGAAGACAAAAAACACAATCAAAAACTGGGCAATGGACCTAAATAAATACTTTTTGAAAGAAGACAGAAGGAAGGTCAAGAGACATATGAAAGCATGCTCAAAGTCACTAGTCATCTGAGAGATGCACTGTTACACCTCAAAGGGAGGGTGGGGATAAAAAGGAGAGATCAACCAAATGACTTATGTGCACACATTTGAGCTTAACCATTGGTCAAGGACAATAGCGGGGTGGGGGCATGAGTGGGGAGGATTAGAATGGGGCGTTGAGGACAAATATGTGATACCTTAATCAATAAAGAAATTTAAAAAAAGAAAGAATGACCTAATCCACTAAGAGAGAGAGAGAGAGAGAGAGAGAGAGAGAGAGAGAGAGAGAGAGATGCAAATCCAAATATAATGCAGTACCATCTCACATCTGTTAGAATGGCTATCATCAACAAATCAACAAATGACAAATGCTGGCAAGGAAGTGGAGAAAAAGGAACCCTGTTGTACTGTTGGTGGGAATGCAGACTGGTGCAGCCACTGTGGAGAACAATATGGAGTTTCCTCAAAAAACTAAAAATGGAACTTCCATTTGACCCAGTGATTCCACTTCTAGGACTATATCCAAAGAAGCTAGAAACATTGATCAGAAAGGATATATGCACCCCTGTGTTCATAGCAGCACAGTGAACCATAGCTAAGATTTGGAATCAGCTTAAGTACCCATCAGCAGATGAGTGGATTAAAAAACTTTGGCACATCTACACAATGTATTACTATGCTGCAGTAAAAAGGAAGGAACTCCTACCATTTGCAGAAGCATGGGTGAATCTGCAGAGCATTATGCTAAAAGAAGGATAAATATCACATGATCTCACTCATTTGTGGATTATAATGAACAACATAAACTGATGAACAAAAACAGATCTAGAAACAGAGAAGCATGGATTAGATGCTGAAACCTCAGAGGGAAGGTAGGGGAGGGTGAGGGTAAGGGGGAGAGATCAACCAAAGGACTTGTATGCATGCATATAAACATAAGCGATGGACACAGACAATAGGGGATGAGGGTGAGGGTGAGGGCAAGACTGGGAGGATGATGGGACAATGGGGGGATAAAGACACATTCGTAATACCTTAATCAATAAAAAAATACATAATAAAAAAATAATCCCCAGATCCCTTCAGAGAGCAGCAGAAGTTGGTATTGGGAGTGGGAGGGACTATTTTGCCCAGGGCAACACTGTAAGAAACCACAGATTCTGAACTGCAACCTTGCAGTGGATCACAAATGCAGCAGTCCTGAGGAGCCACAAGAGGGAGTGAGCCTAGAGGAGAGGGGCTCCAAGCCCCTTGGTTCCCTCCCAAGACTCCTCAACAGAACCGCTAAAGGGCTTTGCTGGGTGGCTTGCTGAGGAAATGGAGCTCTGACATCTCTGAGCTCACACTAGGGTTAAATGAGAGGGGAGCACAAGCCTTTGGTCTTCTGGCTGCAGGCCTGGAGAGTGAGGACTATGCCCCCAGCCCTGTTTGTCTTAAGAAAAAAGACCAAGTTGGCCTCCTGTGACGTGGGAGCATTCTGGTTAAGGCTGAAAGAAGCTCCAGGAGGACAGAAGGTAGCGGAGAGGCCTAGGGCACCAAAGGGCTGAGGTTGGGGCAGAGCAGAGTGAACCACAGGGCCCAGCCTGTCAGCTGCTTCCTGCCTCTCTGGACTGGAGACCTCGGTGACCACCTCCTGTCTGCTTTGGGGTTCAGCACACAGGGCACAGAGATCTGTTCAGTTTCCCAGAGTGGCAGAGGACAGCTGGGCCTGTCTGGGCCTTAACCAACTCCGGCAAAGAGACACACACCCACCCCCCTCACACTCCCTCCCTCTCTTCCTCTCTCTACTGCACACACACACACACACACACACACAACTACCATGTGTCTAACTCTTCACTCAGTCACAAGGTTTCCTAAAGTGTCTACTCCCCTTACAGGAACAATGTCTGATTGCAGAAATCCGAGAAACAGTGTTTCTCTTAAAGTCTTCCCAGCCTCCCAACTCTCTTCTCTCTTCTTGAATTTGCCCCACTCCTCCGTACCTCCTCATCCCCACCCCCCACCAACCCCCCAAAAAACATTCTGCAAATATCTCCCCCCCCCCCCCCCCCCGTGCACACGGTAAGGATACTTAAAACCCCGAAGATGCATCAGGATTTGTCCCAGGGCAATAAAGTTCATTCCTTTCCTGTGCTCAATGAATGTCCCAGATCCCACCCAGGACATCTGGCGCCTAAGTCTACTCGGAACCCCTCAACCGGCGCAATAGTAGCGCCAGGGGCAATGGACAAGGGAAGGAATTGAAGGACGAGCTGGAAAGTTTCCTTGGACCAGGAGGTAAGGGGTCTGAGAGCAGACACTTTTGCCTTGAATGCCAGGTGGGGCGCTGGGGGCCACTCACCTGCTTGGAACTCCACTTGGCGATTCTTTTCTCTTTCCTCCTGCAGCAGCATGGAGTAGAGGATCCCGAAGGAGTTCTGGATGCCAAAGATAGAGCCATTGCACCAAGTGGCAGCGAAGACCACCATCCAGCCAAAACCACCTTCGGGGGGCTGGAAGCCGCGCGCTGTATGGCGGGTCTCCACGGTGGGCGTAGGCTCCGATTCGTGCTCTGGCTCAGGCTCAAGCTCTAGCTCCGGCAGGGCTTCAGGATTTGTTTGGGGCTGGGGCTCTGGCTTCGGCTCCATTGGGGGCACTGGCAAGGGCTCCGGCTCTAGCTGAGGGTTAACCACCAGCTCCTGCTGTTCCTGGTCTGCCTCCCGCCTGGGCCCCTTGGCTTCCTCGCTTTCTGAGCTTTTCAGCGCCATCACAGACAGGGGACTGTGGCTGCTCGAGCGGGAGGAGACGCTTTGTGGCTGGTGATTGTTTCTGCTGCTGCTGTTAGTGCTCGAAATTCTGCTGCCACCACTGCCTCCTCTTCCCGGCTCCTCATCCAAGCTGGCCAGCCAGTCCCGCCACAGACACTCTCTCCAGCCCACTCCTCCTCCCCCTTGGAAACCCCCTCCTTCTTTCCCGTGTCATCTCTCTCCTCCCCCTCCTCCTCCCCCACCCCACCTCTTCCTCCCTTAACCGGCAGCCGCTACAGATTTCTCTTCTTCCCTGCCCTTCCTCCTCCTCCTCATACGTGCCTACCTACTCTAGCCGCTGCTGCGTCTCTCAACTCTCTTTACAAACTATTAAATCCTGTCCTCCTTGTCCAGAAGCCCAGTAAAGGGAGAGTTAAAATGGAAAAAACTAGAACACAAACTATCCTGTTCCCCTGCCCTCTCCTCCCCGCAAGCTCGAAACGGGTATTGATCAACTCACTCCCCAGAAATATCCTTCCAAACAAGCAGCCTGGAACTAGGGTGGCCCTGAGAACGTCAGGACCGAGAAGATTTGGCTTGTGAGAGAACCCACCCTGCCCTGGGGAGTTCCTATATACTTTACACACCTTGTGCTTGAGGGGGGGAACACCTGGAGGGGACACAACCTGGAAAGGACAGCCCAGGGTTCGGACAGAGAGTGGGCACAATGTTCTGGAGTCCAGGGGCTGAGCCTCCCACAACCCTGCGTACTCCCTCTCCAGTTTCTTCCTCTCCGCCCCCGCCCTTCCCGGTAAATCCCAGGCTGGACGCTAAGGAGAGGAGGCAGCCTAGCAGTGAAGCCCGCCCATCTCGGCAGTCAATCAGGGCTTTGTTTGCGCCAACCTGGAGCCCAGAGAAGCCTTAGTGGGCGGGCCCAGGGGGCGGGCCCAGGGGGCGGGCCCATGGGCGGGGCCAGGGAGGGAGGGAGGTGCAGTGTCCCCGGAGGGGGCGGCGTAGGCCTGGCTCTGGCTCCTTCCGGCTGTCAGTTCTGTTTTGGGGAACTAGGAGTAGGAGCCAGGTTGAGCCTCCAGTTTGGGCCAGGGCCGCCCATCCTGCAACATTCCTGGTGGGCTGGTCTCCCAGGCCTCGACCATTAGCATTTTGGGAAATCAGGATTTGGAGTTTCTAGATGAGGGATGTCTTCCCAGAACTCACTGCCCCTTCTGCCCATCTCTGGTTTAAAACTTGTGAGTCCCTCTGAATGTCTCAGACTAAGGCCCCAACCCCGAGAAGGTAAAAGAGAGTTTGCTCCCCAGAGAGCACTAAGATCCTAAGTGTGTTTGTGAGTGGGTGGGGGTCTGGGAGGAGTGATCTGCCCTGCTGGAGGCCCAGTGAAGTGCTACTCTGTGCTCAGTGTCACTGTGCTCAGTCTCAGCCCTCAGAGCAGGTCCAGCAATCCAGGGAAGTTCTGTTTCCCACAAGGGCCCGCACATCTAATGCACTAATCATGAGGTCACTGTGTGGTTACCAAGCTACTCTGATTCTCACCAGTGGGCGGGCGAGCTTTAAGCCTTTTTTTATCCAACATCTCATTAACCTTGATCTGTGAAAAATCTGCATGGCGGTGAAAATGTAGATCAGGGCTGCTCCAGCTGCCCAAGAACAAGGAGTTATTAAGCCCCTGTGGGAGAGTTGAGCTGGGTGGAAGGATAGAGGTGCCTTGGGGTTTAGGGTCTGGTGAGAGGAACTAGCCAAATTCACAAATCACAGAAGCCACGCAGTCAGCAGAACAGGCATTGCTCCAAAGAAATGATCATGTCCCTTATTACCCTGAAGTAAGTATTATTATCACCTGATTTTTCCAAGCAGTAAACCTGAGGCTCAACTAGGTCAAGGTGTTTATAAGCCTAATGTCCAGAGACAAGTCAAGTACAAGCTGGAATTCAAGACAGGTCTCCATACAGCCAAGCTCTCACAGTTTCTGAGCTTCACCACAGGAGTTCTAGGACTTGGTGCTCCCAGAGGGAGTGACAGAAAAGGGAAGGCTTCTGGCTTAGGCATTACAGTAGACTTATTGATGAGGTGATGGCTTAGTTGGGCTTTGAATGTTGAGAAGGATTTTAAGGGGATGAGGGTTAGGAGGTGGGTATCCCTACCTAATAGAGACAAAGCAGAGGCATAGAAGGACTCTACTCGTAAAAAAAGGTAGGTGAAAGCTAATTAGGCCAAAAAGTTAATATAAAGGGTGGGTTAAAAGTAGGTTTACAGGTGTGAATATGCAAAACGGGGTTTATTTTTGTATTATTATTTATTAATTAATGTATTTTTTCCATACAAACAACTGTAAACCTACTCTTGCCCCACTCTGTATATGCTGACTTTCCCAGAAAACATTTGCATTTTAATAAAAATATACAGTGCTTCATCCATGAGGAGTAACAAATAATATTATGGGCATTGGGACTTAATATTTGCTTTTAGAGATCTCACCATACACAATCACTCATTGTTATCCTATGGAGCTCTAGCCTTGGTTTTCATTTGCAAGGAACCTGATTAAGACCCTGAGAAAGGTTATCTGCAAACCCAGACCTAGGAATAGACCCTGGAGTCTTGCAGTCCAGCCCAGACCAAAAAAGTTCTATTTTCCTCATTGTCTCTAAATGGATTTTTTAGATCACTGGAGTGGGGGAGTGGGTGAGAACACTCATTGAGATGCTTCTGTGAACATACACTATGGGAGCACTTTATATATATGAACTCATATAGTATTCATAACAACCGTTTAAGGTTGGAATTATTTCTCTCTGTCTTATAAGTAAACAGCCTCTAAGATGTTGTCAGTTGTTAAAGTCTACAAAGTTATTAAGATGTTAAACAGAGATCTTTGCTCATTTGTGTGAGTTTCAAAGTATGTACTCCATCCAGGAAACAGGCTGGCATAACCACCATCCCACCTTGTTAACAATCCATACAGTACCTACCCTTTCTCTCCTCTTTAGAAGGCATGAGGAGACCTGAGTTCCAATTTTGGGTCTACCATTGCTTACCTGTGTGATCCTAAGCAAGTTGTTTTCCCTCTCTCAGCTTCAATTGTTGTTGTTGTTGTTGTTGTTGTTGTGTGTGTGTGTGTATGTGTGTGTTTAATTTGCAAAATGGAGTTAATACCAACTTCAAAGAGTTATTAAACACTATGCTGAAAGTATAGGGTTTGTTTTGGATATACAAAAAGCTACTGAAGATTTTTGACTAGGAAACTAACATATCTGCATTTTAGAAAACTGTGGCAACAGTGTAGAAAGATGCTGTCTAGGAGAAAACCAAGTAATGAACAGTAAAAAATTGTTTATCTAAAATAAGGTACTCACTGTTGGGATGAAGACAGAGGTATAGCTCTGTGATCCTCTGTTATGGTAGAATTGTCAGAACAGATTTGGGTAGTAAGGGAAAAAGCAAAAGCAAAGGTGATGCTGACATTTCTTGCTTGAGTGAAGGAAAGGATGGTAAAAGTGTTAATAGAGATGGTGAATTAGGAGCCGAATCAAGTTAGAGGTGCCTGTGACTTTCTGTCTCTTATTTTCTTTTTAAATGTTTCTATTCTATTTGACATTCAATATCCTATGTAATAAAGGCTGATATGCAAATTGACTGAACTACCACTCTCTATGATGTGCACTGACCATCAGGGGGCAGATTCTCAATGCAGGAGCTGCCTCTTGGTGGTCAATGCCCTCCCACAGGGGGAATGCCACTCAGCCAGAAGCCTGGCTCACAGCTGGCTAGCACAGTTGCGGTGGAGGGAGCCTCTCCTGCTTCCACAGCAGCGCTAAGGATGTCCGACTCCCCCCGCATAGCAGGCCTAAGGTGTCAGTTGGACATCCCTTGAGGGCTCCCAGACTGTGAAAGGGCACAGGCTGGGCTGAGGGATACCCCTCCCCTGAGTGCACGGATTTCATGCACCAGGCCTCTAATTATTTTATTATTAGTTTAAGGTTTATAGTATCATGGTTAGACAGTTATATAATTTACTAGAGGTCCGGTGTACAAAATTCGTGCATGGGAGGGTGTGTCCTTCAGCCCAGTCTGCACCCTCTCCAATCTGGGACTCCTCAGGGGATGTCTGACTGTTGATTTAGGCCTCAAGGGATCAGGCTTACACCGGCAGTCAGACATCCCTCTCACAAAACAGGACTGCTGTCTCCCAACAGCTTGCCTGCCTGCCTGATTGCCCCTAACCACTTCTGGCTGCCAGCCTGATCACCCCCTAACTACTCCCCTACCTCAATGCAGGTGCCTAACTGCTCCCCTGCTGCCTAACTGCTCCTCTACCTGCCTGATTGCCCCTAACCACTTCTGGCTGCCAGCCTGGTTGCCCCCAACTGCCCTCCACTGCAGGCCTTGTCCCTTCCAACCGCTCTCCCCTCCAGGCCTGGACACCCCTAAGTTCCAACCCTTGCTAACCTGGTCACCCCTAACTGCCCTCCTCTGCAGACATGGTCCCTCCTAATTGCCCTCCCCTGCTGGCCTGGTCCCCTCCAACTATTGTGTCGTGAAGACCTGGTTCCCCCCAACTGCCTTCCCCTGCTGGCCTGGTACCCCCAACTGCCCTCACCTGCAGGCCTGGTTCCCCTGTACTTCCTCCACTGTTGGCCTGATCACCCACAACTGTCCTCCCCTGCATGCCTGCCTGGTCATCCCTAATTGCCCTTAGCTACAGGCCTGGTTCCCCCTACTGTCTTCCCCTGAAGACCTGGTTGCTCCTAACTGCCCTTCTCAGCCAGCCCGGTCACCCTTAACTGCCCTCCACTGCTGGCCTATTCACCTCTATCTGCACTCCCTTGCAGGCCTGGTCCCCCCAACTGCCCTTCCTTGCAGGCCTGTTCCCCCCCAAATGCCCTCCCTTCCTGGCCTGTTTCCCTTCAACTTTCCTTCCCTGCATCCCTGGTACCCCCAACAGCCCCACCCTGCAGGACTGGTACCCACAACTGCCCTCCCCTATAGGCTTGAACCCCCCAACAGCC